CAGGAATTGTGAGACCTCCAACTTTTATTCTTTTTTTTCAAGATTATTTTGCTTAATTAGGGTTCCTTGAGAGTTCATATGAATTTTAGTATGGATTTTTCTGTTTCTGAAAAAAGAAATAAAAAGCAAAAATGAAAAATGCCATTGGGATTTTGATAGGAATCACACTAAATCTGTAGATTGCTTTGGGTAGTATTGACATCTTAACAATATTAAGTCTTGTAATCTATGAACACATGAAATGGGTTTCTATTTATTTGTATCTTTTAAAATTATCAGCAATGCATTATAGTTTTCAGTATACAAGTCTTTTACCTCCTTGATTAAATTTATTCATAATATTTTATTCTTTTTATGCTATTGTATATGGAATTTTTAAAAATTTCCTTTTCGGATTGTTCATCGTTAGTGTCTACAAATGCAGCTGATTCTCATGTGTTGATTTTGTACCCTGCAACTTCGGTGACTTTGTTTATTAGCTCTAAGAATTTTGTATGTATGTGGAATCTTTAGGGTTTTCTATATTTAAGATCATGTCACCTGCAGAGATCATTTTACTTCTTCCTTTTCAATTTGCATGCCTTTTATTTCTTTTTCTGGCCTAAAGTATCTGGCTAGGACTTCCAGTGCTATGTTAAATGAAATAGGTGAGAGCAGGCAGCTTTGTCTTGTTCCTGAACTTAGAGGAGAAGCTTTCAGTCTTTCATCATTGGGTATGATGGTATCTCTGGGTTTTTCATATGTAGTCTTTATTGAGATAGTTTCCTTCTGTTCTCAGTTTGGTGACTGTTTTTATGATGAAAGGGTGTTGAATTTTTCAAATGCTTTTTCTGATAAACTGAAATAATTGTGGTATTTTTATCTTCACTATATTGGCGTGGCATATTACATGGATTGATTTTTGTATGTTGAACCATCTTTGCATTTTAGCACTAAATCACACTTGGTTATGGTGTACAGTTCTTTTAACATGTCGCTAAATTCAATTTGTTAACATTTTGTTGAGGATTTTTGCATCAATATTCATTGCAGGTATTGGTCTATAGTTTTTGTGTAGTGTCTTGTCTGACTTTGGTTTCACGTTAGTGTTGACCTTATAGATGGAGTTGAGCATATTCTCTCCTTTTCAGTTTTTTTTTTTTTTTTTTTTTTTTTGGAAGAGTTTGAGGAGGATTGGTGTTAATTCTTTAGATGCTTGGCAGAAATCACCAGTGAAGCCATCTGGTCTTGAGCTTTACTTTGTTGGGAGATTTTAGATTACTGATTCAGACTCTTTGCTGCTTCTAAGTATGTTCAGATTTTGGTAAATCATGTGTTTTCGTTATTTATCCATTTTATCTAGATTATCCAATTAATTGGCATGCAATTTTTATAGTAGTTCCTTATTATCCTTTTTATTCCTGTGGCATTGGTTGTAATATGTCCTCTTTCAACTCCGATTTTAGTTATTTGAGTCTGCTATCATTTTTTCTTAATCTAGCTTAAAGGTTTGTCAATTTTGCTGATCTTATTGAAGAACCAACACTTGATTTTGTAAATTTATTGTTTTTCTATTTTCTATTTCATTTATCTCTGCTCTGATGCTTATTACTTCTTTCCTTCTGCCAGCTTTGGATTGAGTTTACTCTTTTTTATAGTTCCTTAAGGCATAAATTTAGATTGTTGATTTGGGATCTTTCTTCTTTTAGCGTAAGCATTAGCAGATCTAAATTTTCCTCTTAGCACTGCTTTCATTGTATCTCATAGATTTGGGTTTGCTGTGTTTTCACTTACATTTGTCTCAAGATGTTTGCTTTTTTCTCTTGTGATTTCTTCTTTGATTCATTGGTTGTTTAAGAGTGTGTTGATGAATTTTTACTTATGCTATTGATTTCTAGTTTTTTTTTTTCCACCATGATCAGAAATGATGCCTTGTATGATTTGAGTCTTTAAATTTGTCAAGACTTGTTTTGTGTCATAAAATATGTTCTATCCTGAAGAATGTCCTATATGTACTTGAGAAGAATGTGTATTCTGCGGTTGTTGGGGAGGGTTCTGTATGTCTGTTAGGTCCGGTTGCTCTATAATGTTTTTTAAGTCCTCTGTTTCCTTATTGGTCTTCTGTTTGGTTGGTCTATTGACATATCTTTTAACAAGATCCTATGGCTATGTTAAGATGAGCCTCTAGGAGGTGGATGCAAGCAGACGAATAAGAATTTACCATGCTGATCCAGGAGAGATGTGATTTGGACAAGAGAGATGACTTGGTGACAGATGTGATCTGGACCAGGTCGCACTTTATGGCGTGGACCTCAGTTGGTTCCAAGAGGTGCTGGTGGATGAGATGAGAAATGGACAGACTCTGGGTATACTCTGAGGACAGAAGCAACAGATTTTATTGACTCAGTAGTAGTTGGTACTAGGTAAAGGAATTTGCTAAGGTCCTACAGCTAGTAAGTGACTGAGTCAGGATTTGAACCCAGGCCTGTCTGGCCCTAAAGCCTTAGCTCTTAATTACCCACTGTGCTTCTCTGAAAGTAGTCCCGACCCAGTTGCCTGGACACCATGTCCTCCCACCACACCTTCCAAACAGTCCACTACCCTCCGCTACTTAGCCTGGACTTACTCCCTCTACACTTCTAGTCCCGAGGGATGTCCATATCTGGATGCTTAGCAACCCCATCTAGCAGGTTCTCAGACACTGAGTTAGAGGCCAGCATCACTGTGTCCTGCCTCAGGAGAGCAAAGGAAAGAAAGAGCAGGTACCTGGGGAAAGGAAAGTGGTGGGCAAATGCTCTGAGACCATGTAGGCTCAATGGCATATTGTAAAAGGAATTCAGCCCTGGAAGTCAGACAAAATTGGATCTAAGCCCTGGCTCCACTCCTCACCAGCTGTGTGACCCTGGGCAAGGTACACCACCTCTCTGTGCCTCTGTTTCCTCCCTTGGCGAACAGTGATAATAATGCTGCTGCTCTATTTACCCAGATTATAGTGACAGGAAAGCTTTTTTTTTTAGCTAAAATATTTTACCCAAGCAGAAGTCAATCGTGAGCCTTCAGGCCATTCATTCTTCAAACAGAAAGAGCTTTATTGAGCATCTACCATGTGCTAGAACCAGAGCTATAAAATGGGGAGACACAGTGCTCACCCTCATGGGATCCCAGCCCAGCAGGAAGGACAGGTATTGACGAAATCATTATAAATATGATGAGTGTTCTAAAAGCAGCCACTGTGGGAATTTAGTCGCTTGAACAGGTAATATTTCAGCCAGGACCAGAATAACAGTAAAGGAGTCCAGGTGAGGGTGATGCATGCGTGCAGCTAACATTTTTGCAGGTACGCTGTGCTCCAGGCTCTGTGCTCAGCAAAAGGTGTGCATTTTCTTGTCCTCCATAGCCCCTTGAGGCAGGTGCTATTCTTATCATCCTTTTATCCAATGAGAATACTAAGGTTCAAAGAAGTGACGTGATCTGCCCAAGAAAACACAGCTGGTAGCTAGAGGGACCAAGATATGGCAGATGGAACCAAGATAGAAAAACTTTTATAAATTGGGATTCCAGCTCTTCTGTGTCCTAGCTACATGGCCTTGGGCAGGCCAGTGTGCCTCTGTGAGCCTCAGTTTCTGCATCCATAAATGGGGCCAATTCCACAGGCCTGGCTGAATAGTTTTCAGGCTTAGAAATGCTGCCTGGCCAGCCCCGCTTGGAGCTTCTGAGCTCAGAGGTCAGCAGCTGTTCACGGAGAGGGTGCTGATTTGATTGTGGTGGGCAGGGGTGGTGTGCCAGCTCTGGGGTGGAGACTACCATGTGTTTTTCCAGAGAATATGGCCATGCATGCTCTGAGGTCTGTCTTCCCCTCCAGAACCAGAAGGAACCAGAAGGAAAGGGCAGAGGGGCAGCGAGAGCCTGAGACTGCTCTCAGATGGGTACACTGATGTGCTGTCCCACCCTGTCTGAGTGGGCCACAAGGCTGCCAGGAAAGGAATGGGGGTCTGCTGGATCGGGGGGATTCAGGACCTTTCTCCTTTCACACCCACATCACAGCCCCACTGATATCACGCTGGGCCTTTGAGATTGTTTCTTCTGATCTCCTCAACCTCAAGTGGGGAAACAGAGGCCCAGAGCAGAAACAGACTTTGCCAAAGCCCCACAGGGACTTTGGGCAGAATGAGGCCCAGAATGCAGCAGAGCCGGAGGGTGTTCAGGCCACCACAGGGTCATCTCCATGAGCAGAGTCACAGTGGCCCTTTCAGCACTGGGTCCCCTGTGCCTGGCACATCAGAGGTGCTCAAGCAAGATTTGTTGAGTGGCTGAGGATGGTAGGAAAAGCACTGAGCCTGGGAGTCAGGCGCGGGCTGGAGTTCCGTCTCCACTCTGGGCCAGCTCCACTTCTCTGGTGAGTTGTCTCACCTGGCTGAGCCTCCGGTACCCAAGACAAGATCACAAATCCAGCTGGTAGGGGCCCGATCAGGAATTTGAACCCGGGTCTGCCAAATTCCAGGGCTGATTTTTCACACGACACCCTCCTGATTCTTCTAGATACCTGTTTTCACTCATTCAGTCGCTCATTTAGAAAATATTTATTGAGCACCTGCTATGCACCATACACTGTTCTAGGCTCCATAGTTGCAACACTGAACAAAACAAACGAGGCTGTGCCCTCAGGGATTGTATATTCCAGAAGAGGGAGACAGACAGTAAACAAACACATAGCACAGGAATAGTATAAGTACTCTATCACAGGGGAACTATAATAAGGAATGGATGGAGGTGTGGGGAGGGCTACCTTAGATAATGTTGCCAGGGAAGGAGATGACACTTTGTTTGACACCTGGGAAGAAGCCTGGCATGTAAAGAGCCGAAAAAACTAATTCAATAAAATGTGAGTGTGGAGCTGTCACAGGCCACAGGCCTTGGACCTACAGAAGATGCAGTGAGGAGGGAGTGGAAGGAAAGTGGTTATCGGAATGTCCCCTGGGTTGCTTTGGGGGGGTCTCCCCTCTAGCTGACTTCCTTTCCAGGTGAAGCAGATCATGGAGGAGGCCGTCACACGGAAGTTTGTCCACGAAGACAGCAGCCACATCATCTCCTTCTGTGGTGAGTCTGTGGCTTGTGGCCTTGAAAGTTGGCTTCTTTCTCTATGGGCTGCCTTGGGGAAGTGGCATGTTTGAACAGGGGTTCCCACGTCATTTTTTTTTTTCTTTTTTGCTTCGTAACTCTGAAATTCTTTTGATTCCGAAGGCACTTCATTAGGGAATTTGGAAATACAGAAAATTCTAGAGAAGAAATTAAGCATGACCTCTGTAGCCCGTGAAGAGGTAATCAGGGTTAACATTGGAGGGACTGGCTTTCTGTCCTTGGGCTCAGTTCACACTGACCCTCCCCTAAGTGGCAGGGGTCTTGCCTCTGAGGAATGGGCTCCACGTCCTTTCCGAGCTCTGCCTATGGTTGTTGCCAAGTAAAGGGAGAGGATAAATGGGGACTTAAAAAAAAATAGGGAATTAAGAGCCATCAACACATCTTGAGGGATCATGTCCAGCTGGCTCAGCAAAGAAGGCAGGACCGGAGCTCAGAGCGTGACTCACACTTCTCTCCTTGAACCAGCTATGCTCACGAGGTTCCAGAAATACCCGCGCTGCCAGATTCTTACTGTACTTTCACAATGCCTAGAGATACATGTTTTGCATGTCTTTGAAGTTAGGATTCAGCTAATAATCACTGTGTACATATAAGTGGGAGCATTTCTGTCTTTCTCCCCAAAAAGCTTTTTATTTCATGATCGGAGTGTCTCATAATAAAGAGCATGCTATAATTCCCGTCTCATTTATTTTGGCCCTACGTAGAGCCCAGGTGGCCGGAGACACCACCCATAGGCCTGCAACATGCTTAGCACATGCCATGACTTGGGACCCCAATGATGTCAGTTTAACCCTTCTGCAGCCAGGCTTCAAATCTCAGCTCTGCCAGTTTTTTGGGGGGTGACCTTGGCAAGATCTTATTTTTTTTTTAAGTGAGACATGTTTATTTAAATATGTATGAACATGAGAATGTGTGTGTGTGTGTGTGTGTGTATATATATACACACACACACACACATATATATGTATATATGTGTGTGTGTTGCTTGTTTCTTCTGAACATTTTTATTTGCAAATAAAGTAATATGTATATGCATTTCAGAATTTGCTAACATACCTACCAATTAAAGACTTAGAGGAATAGAAAATGGTAAAATCTTAGTTATTCTCTAACTCTGATGAAAGTTTTGGGTGAGAGATATTTGATGGCACTAAATGGGGCCTAAAGGACCTCCCTTAGGTTTCTTTTATCCATTGTTCCGATGAACCATTGTCAGAAAGATTCAAACACTGTCTACAAAGCCCGAATAGATGATTAATTTATTGCACCATAAACAAATGGAAAGTACCGTGTACGTAAGCAAAAATGAAGATATTTAAGAGGTCCTCACCCAGAATAATCTAAATCCATGGGCAGATCAGGCAATATGTAGGTCTTCATTCAAAACCAAGCCATTGCTAACAAAAAAACAGAGGCAATTAAACCAGAACTTCTCAGGATTTCTTCTTGCACATAACCTAACCTTGGCAGCGCTCTTGACCCTGGGTATGCTGGCACTCTTCTGTGAGATGACAATACCTAGAATGTTCACCTCCTGAGTTTTGTAACAAGAATTAGGTAAGGTAAACCTTAACATGGTTTTACACCCAGTAGGTGCACAAGAAGGAATAGCTCTTATTATGTACTCACTTTCCCTCAAAACATCAACTGTGCCCCTCTTGAATACCGAGTGAGCTCCCAGTCTGTTGTGTAAGACAGAAGGTAGGAAGATACTTAACAGAAAGCTATTGAGGGTACAAGAAATAAGATAGGGGCTATCAGAATGGCCTGCACAAAGCCTATTCCCCTAAGGGAACATGGAAGCCCAGAGTGGAAAAGTGATTTGCCTAAAGTCACACCTAAGTTCATGGCAGAGCCCAGGCTACAACCCAGAGCTGGGCCGGGCCTCCAGAGAAATGGGAGATGATGACTAAATCCACCCTTCACTCCCTTTGTAGGTCCTTCATGAAGGCACAAGTGTCGTGAGCACACCTTGGGCTCAGACCTGAGTTTGAATCCTGGCTCCATCACTTAACCGCTATGGAGCCCTGGAGAAGTCAGTTCACCTCTCGAGCCTCGGTTCCACATCTGAAAAATGAGGATGGTTGTTCTTTCTTCCCTGGCTGTGGTGGAAGTTGAATTAGATTCAAGTCAGCTGTGCTTGGAATCAGACTAGATGACGATGTGATTCTTCCAGCCAGATAGGGCAGTCTTGTGGTCCAGTCCTCTCCCCCATTAACAGGAGGACCAGGTATCATTTGTAAAGCGCTCACTGTGTACCTGGCTTCGTGCTGCTTTCCATGAATTTTTTTCCATCTTAACAGCAATTTTATGAGGTTAATGTTCATACTGTCCCCATTTTACAGATGAGGAAGCTGAGGCTCAGGGAGGGGAAGTGATTGCACAAGTCACATAGCTGGGTAGGGGCTGGGAGAGGATGTGAACAGAGAAATCTGTCCTTGGGCGGTGAGCATGGGTCAGCCACAAAGCGCTCTCGCTCCCTTTTGAGGGAGTATAAGGTGGAGAGGCATACATACTTTTCTCTATGACTCTATCACAGATTTGTGATTCTGAGGGCCCCTGGCTCTCCATGGTGTCTCTGCATGACTGAAGCTCTAGTTGGGCTGGGTGCCAGGAACCACGGTCAGGGCGGGGCCTGCTGACTGTTGGATCCCTGCAGCGGCTGTGGAGGCCTGCGTCCTGCATGGGCTGCGGCGGAGGGCAGCTGGCTTCCTGCGCAGCAACAAGATCGCAGCTCTCTTCATGAAGGTGGGCAAGAGCTTCCCGCCGGCCGAGGAGCTGAGCCGCAAGGTCCAGGACCTGGAGCAGCTGATCGAGGGCGCGTGAGTGCAGAGAACTGGGTAGGGCTGGGGTAGTCCCCCAGAGGACAGTCCATGCCCCTCCCTGGGCTCAGCAAGAGCCTGAGCCTTCCAGAACTCTCTCCGCTCTCCTTTCTGCTCCACGGACCCGCCAGACTGTTTTCCACCCCAGGGCCTTTGCACATGTTGTACCCTCTCCTGGTTCACACCACTCATCTTCCATCGCTGGTTCCTTGTCATCATTCAGGCCTTCCCCTAGCTAAGTGTAAATTTCAACCCTCACCTCATTTCTCTTTCATAATATCCTGTTTATTTTCTTCCTATATGTTATCACCATCTGTGATATTCATTTATTTTTTTGTTTATTGCTTACTTGATTGTCGTCTCTCTCTTATTCTTGACTTTGAACTCCATGAGGACAGGCAGCTACATCTGTGTTATTCCCCTTCATGTCCCTGGCGTCTGGGAGAGCCTAGTACCTGGTAAACTCCCACGAAACTTTGTCACCTGGATCAGTGCCTCCTGTGAGCCAAGACTGGCCCTAAATGCAGGAAGACCAAAGTTTAACAGAACCAGTATAGTCTCTGTCCACATGGGCAGAGTTGACTTCACTCATTTGTCTTGGTGGCCGATGATCTGTGTGATGGGGAGGCTCACGGCCTGAGTGTGTGCACATGAGTGCCTCCCACCGGAACCACTCCCAGCATCCCGACCACATAGCTAAACCCCTCATCTAGGGCCTGGTCAGGGATGGCAAATAGGTTTGACCTCCAGCTGATGCTAGTGGCTGCCCAGAGGACTGTCGTGAAAGATTCTGGAGCTGTGGTTAGGCTTCTTGGGAAATAGTGTGTGGATTGATTAGCCATGTGTATGACTGGTAAGGGAAGGCAGAGAGACATGCATGCCATGGGTTTGCCATCTCCCTTGGGTGGTCACGCCACATCACTGGATGAGAAATGTTCTTCCCCTTGACCTTCAGGCCCTGCCTGCCCGGGGCTGTTGGCCAGAACCACGTGATGGGCAGGGCTCTGCACTTGGCATTGCCAAGCCCCATTTGGTATCTGACTCCTCAGCCACCTAATCTTCAGGTGCCTTCCAATCCATCTGCTAAATTCCCAGGTGATGCTGATAACTTCTTAAAGGGAGGGATTTCCACAAGCCTTCCATATTATGGTGACTTGCTAATGAAGGAATTAGAGATGTCCATTCCATGTGATAAGGGAGAGCCATTCATTCATTCATTCATGCATGTGGTCACTGATTTGATATGAACAAATATACTGAGCCCCTCCTATATGCCAGGCACTGTCCTGGGCCTTAGAAACACAGACATAAGGAGGACCCATGCTTGCCATGTGGTAGATCCTTAGGAAGTATTTTATTTAAAAAATGATAATTGAATCTCAGTCTATGCCCTCAAGGTCAGTCTGGAGGGGGAGACAGAAAAGTGAGCAGGAAGTCATGCTACAGTGCCTGAGGAGGGGCCTCTCTTCCAGCTCCGGCTGGTCCACGAGGGCTTCCCATAGGAGGGGATGCCCTCACTGAGACCTAAAGGATGAGAAGGGTTCAGTTTGGGAATGGCAGAGGGAAGGAAAGCAGGAAGAAGCAGCAGCTTTTGGAACATCTTCAGGTGAGAGACAGCGACCTCTCCATCTGTCTGGATTATGGGGTCAGAAAAAGGAGTGATAAGAGGTTGAGTAGAGAGGTAAATAGGACAAAGGTCATGGATCGCCCTGCCTGTCGTATTAAAAAGCTTGCTCCTCAAGGATAGTGGGGAGCCTCTGAAGGATCTGTAACCCAAGACTCTTCTTGGCCAGCACTTCCTTCCAGCAGAGAGAGATAGAGACAGTGATAGGAATGGGGAGAGGAGGGAGGAAGGGAGGGAGAGACTAAAAGAGAAAAATATCAGTATGAGATTCTACCTTTCCCATCAACAGTATATGAAAGTGTTTGTTGTACCATATCTTCACTCTCGCTGGGTATTGTTAGATTTTTCAACTCTTTACACATTTGCCTGGAACCCTGTGGTTTCTTGTTATCGTTGCCATTTCTTCATTTCCTAGAGAGCTTGAACTTTTTCCCATTTGTATATTGGTCCTGCGGGATTTTCTCTTTTGTGAATGTGTTTTCTCCTCCTTCACTGATCCTTGAAGGCGAAACCAGATCCAGGGCCTCCAAGAGAATGTGCGGAAGCTGCCAAAGCTGCCTAACCTGTCCCCACTCGCCATCAAACACCTGTGGATTCGCACGGCGTTGTTCGAGAAGGTCCTGGACAAAATTGTACATTACCTTGTGGAAAACAGTAGGTGAGCAGGGAAAGACCAGACCCCTGAGTGCTATATGCCTTCACCTGCTGGTAGCCATGGGAATTGCATCCTCTGGCACATAGCCACTCTGTTTTTCCCCTTGATGTGTTCTTGATTTTAAAGTGATTAAATAAAGATCTTCTAGCTATTTGAATATGAACTAGCTTAGGTTAGAACCTTGGGAGGATTCAGATGTTTAATAGCAACATGGGGTCTTTGCATTTGAAGTAGGGTGTAAGGATCTTGAGGTCTTGGTGACCTTCCTTCTCCAATGAATGAAGCCCACTGTCTCCTTGCT